GAAATTAAATAGAATTAAACATTAAAATTATAAATATCAGATATTTTTTATGGTCCAATTAATAATTTGACAATTATAACTAATTCCTCAATCTTTTTTAATGGACCTTTTCAATTGAAAAAAAAGTTTAACCTTGTAATTTAGATGAATCTTATTTTTGTATCAAATAATTTGAGATTGAAAGTTAAGTATAAAGATTAATATTTTCAACAATTATTATGGAAAATTAAGTTTTTGAAATTATCAATACTTTTTCAAATATCAAAATTATTTACATTATGTTGATAAAATAGAATTATTATCTATTATTTTTACAATCAGAAAACAATTTAAATATTCAATTAATTTAATGTTCTGAACTAATTGATTAAAATTGTTATGTAATAACAGATCTTAATGAAAAATTTCAAATACAACCTATTACTGCAGATATTTTGAGAACAGGAAATCTAATTAAGCTAAAAAATTAATTTAACCAGTCTTTTATTTATTTTGAAGATATCAAATTTATTTTAGTATAATTACCTGAAATCGTCATGGATGTCATTTAAATTGAAGAAACACAGGATCAATATTTAATAATATAATAAAACAAATAAAATTCAAGTAATTTAGAATTGATGATTTATTCAATCTATTTAAATAAGAAAAGTATAGTATATTCCTTATCCATTCCTAAATAGCTTTATATAAAATTGATTAATGATCGAAAATTTAAATTTTAAGAATTAAAATTAACCTCATGTATTTAAATAGGAGGTTTAACAAAAATTAAACTATTCATTATTACTTAATATTATTCTTATTTGTTTTAATTAATATTAGATAAGTAGAAGAATTAAGTTTAATTTGAATTGTAAAAGTCAGTTAGAAATTGTGATTCTTAAAACTGCAAAAATGAAATATTCACAATAAACTATTTTGATGACATTATTTTAATTTTAAAAGAAATTAATAACAATCATTTTTTATTTTTTGATTTGAGAAAACGCAGAAACTTTTATGATTATTTTCATAAATCACTTAATTAGAAAAAAATAAAAAGAATAAATACTACGCATTTAATTTTCTTTGAAAATTTATTTATCTATTAAGGAAATATAGGATATGAGATAGAATAATTAAATAGTTCAGAAATTAATTATAATTTTGAACTACATGCCTAAAATGACATATCAAATGAAAAAGCTTTATTTTAGATACACATAATTTAATAAAAATATTAGTTTACAAATACTTTAATACTAATATTATTATCATGCTTTATTTTCATAATTATTTATCTAAGAAGTTAAAAACAAAGGACTTACAAATAATTAAAAATAAGAAGTAAACATTCCATTACCACATAAATTTATACATTAATTATTAAAAAATGCTTAATTTTAACTACACTATATATTAATATTTTCATCCACTTCTGGTTTTATTTCAATATAAGATTATAGTGTTTTACATTGAAAAGATTGAGTATCTAAAAAGAATTATGAGTTTTAACATTATACGCAATGATTATCCTTTTCACATTTTATACATCCATAAGAGCATTAATATTCACATTGATAACAACCATCATATAGAATATCATTTCCATCATCACATTATTCAAAAAGGGGTGTAACAACATTATCTCCACAAACTGGTAAACATTTACCATCTATATTAATTAAAGGAGATTAACAAATATCACAATTGTTAAACTTATCACAAATCACACAGAAAGGATCACATTGATACTTACAATTAGTACAATATGAATTTTCAAGATCATCACATTATTCGTTGGATAAGATTGCTAATTGCCCATCTCCACAGATTTATATACATTAATATTCTTGAAGTTGACAACCCTTTTGACATAGATAGCACTAATTACTAGAGCAAAATAAACATTCTATTTAACAACTTTTTTAACATTTATAACACCCATCAAATTGAATTCTATTATCATCATCACAAATTTCTTAATATAATATTATTCCATCTAAACATTTAGGAATACATTGATTTTTATGAAAATCCAATTCATATTCAATTAAACATTCCAAACATTTACCATATTCGCACTTTTTACAGTTATGATGACAAGAATATTTGCATTTATGACATCCATCATAAATATTTTCATTACCATCATCACATTCCTCATTAAAAGTAATAATTGCATCACCACAATAAGGAATACAAATGCCTATTTATTCATTAAATTCCCATCCAACCATACAATCATAACAAATACCTTTTATACAAAATCCACAACCTTAAATACAATCATAATTATTAGAAAAACATCCATCAAAAGGATTAATATTGTTATCAAAACACCTATCATCCAATGATCTATTTATTAGAAATAATTAAAAATCTCTTATTCCTATAAAGGTAGGGTTTATAATTATTATCCTAAATTAATTACACTTTTATTTCTAATTTTAATTTTGTATTAAAATGTTCATATTAAAATAGATTAATTTCCTACATAGAAATATGTTTACATAAATCCATCACAAGTTTTACTTAATTATATTTAATTGAAGCTATTATCAAGTTGCTTTAACATACGATACAAAAACATCATCAATAAAAATATGAATATAAGTTGATTATGAATTAAAAATCAACAGTTTTAGTTCAAAGCATATTGCATGATGATAATCTAAATCAAAATATTTGATCAAATGATCACCATTAGAAACTAGATATTTAAATCCTAAATAATAATTATTTAAATAATTTACCTAAACATTCATCAATTTAAATATTTGTAATATCTTTAGTTTACCATGTTTTTTCAATATCCATAAAAGAAAAGTCTAGTGAAGTAAATTAATTAAAAAATAATTCTTAATTGAAACATCTATTACTATTACAAGAATCACATCCAATAGAACATTCTTTAATTGATATTTCAAATTTTGTTATTCCCCAAAATCCCTTTTGAGCAATCATTGATATTGTAACAGATGAACTTGAATGATCAATTGTTATAATAATAGGGTATAATTCATAATTTCTAGTGTTTAATGTACAAAAATCATTTGAATGAATATAATCGGTATAACTCCTTTAAAGTACAATTCTGTCATCAATATAAACTAAAAATTCAGGATCAACTGATGGCTTTTCTCTAAAAAGTTAAATCCTATATTATCACCTCAAAAATGTTAATTATAATGTTAATTGATAGTGAGGTTAAAGCTCTATAGTTTTGAAAATCAAATGATGATATTCGTATGATAAACATTAATTGATTAACAAAATTTTGTAATCTTGGCATTATTCACTTTAGAAATACGATATGCCTTCTTTATTTTTACAATCTAAATTCCGATATGCATACCATGCTTAAACAATATTATAATATTTTTACTATCTTAAACACTGTTAAATAAATCTTCATAAATTATTTTTGATTATGCTTGATCTAATATTTAATAGAAGATCAAGAAATAACATGTCATAGTTAATTGATTGGCTTTATATGAAACAATATGGGTATTTAATGTATCTAAACATGATTAATTAGCTCAGAATTTGTTGAATAAGATAATAATTAAATTATTATTGTTTCTATTTTATAAAAGATTTTAATTTTTAGGAAATTCAAAATAAATCTTAACTTTATTATATTATTATTTAAATATAAATGCATTAAATAATTAAATAATAAAAGTAAAATATATAACTAAGACTTAAAGTTATTCAAAAAATTCAAAGGTCTACTTGATGCGAATTTTAATGGCACCATAAAAATTTAGATTACAAATTAATATTATTGGGATATTTAGTTTTTTAGTTAAACTTAGTTTTTTTGGAATTCCATATATTGTTACAAATTAGGTGGTTCTCCATAATATGTTCAAATATTTTTATTTTCATATGATTATTGTTAAGATCAAAATTATTCAACAAGGTAGTCTAATTAATTGTTATATTTCTGATTTAGTAACTTAGAATTTTATTTATTTATTTTATGATATAAATTATATACTTAAATAAATAGGAGAGGACAGTACAATTAAAATATAGATAAAGCAGAGTATCAATATAAGTTTATATTGCTATCATTGATTAAAGGAATATCCTTATAATTGTAGTATTTTATTTATTAATGATTTCCTAAGTTACCTTCAATTTCTATTAATGATTTGTGAAAAGATATTTTAATATAAAAGGAGGAATTAAATGTAAAGTATTCAAGAACTATAGAACAATATGGAAAATAAATAGAAGGGTGTATTTATTCGATTAATTTTAAAGATTTTAAATGGCTACTGCGCCTTTAAATCTATTTTTATGATATCTCAAATATGATCAAAATCTGGTGTAAGAAACAATATTACTAAGTTGGTTTTGATTATTTAATATCTTACAATTAGATTATTTTATTTTTTTATTGAATGAAGTAATAATATCAATACTTTTAAGATGTTTTCAATGAAAAATTAAATTCCAATTTTGCTTTAATCTATTCTAAGTATTTAATAATCAGTATAAATATTATAGTTTATAGATAATATCTTTTTGCCACTTTTTCGATAATTACTTTTTATCTTTTGATAACAATTAAAAATATAATATTAAACTGAAATTGATATTTGGAAATAAAAGATGACCTAGAATTAGAATTAAAATATAAAAAAAGTTATCTGATTGCAAAACTATAGCAAATTTTATATTCTTCATATATAGTCTATAAAAATATCTTAAGATTAATAAAGAGATATAATTTATAAGAGAAATTTAGGATTATCAATAATATTATATAGATTATTTGATTAAATAACGAGACATTAAAATATTTAAACTTGATGTTTGGAATAAATTTCTTTATTTAAGAATTAACTTTTTCTTATATGAAAGAACTAGTATATAATAATAATGATAGATTATCAGTAATAATAAATGCATAGAGAATNTAAAAGATTTTAATTTTTAGGAAATTCAAAATAAATCTTAACTTTATTATATTATTATTTAAATATAAATGCATTAAATAATTAAATAATAAAAGTAAAATATATAACTAAGACTTAAAGTTATTCAAAAAATTCAAAGGTCTACTTGATGCGAATTTTAATGGCACCATAAAAATTTAGATTACAAATTAATATTATTGGGATATTTAGTTTTTTAGTTAAACTTAGTTTTTTTGGAATTCCATATATTGTTACAAATTAGGTGGTTCTCCATAATATGTTCAAATATTTTTATTTTCATATGATTATTGTTAAGATCAAAATTATTCAACAAGGTAGTCTAATTAATTGTTATATTTCTGATTTAGTAACTTAGAATTTTATTTATTTATTTTATGATATAAATTATATACTTAAATAAATAGGAGAGGACAGTACAATTAAAATATAGATAAAGCAGAGTATCAATATAAGTTTATATTGCTATCATTGATTAAAGGAATATCCTTATAATTGTAGTATTTTATTTATTAATGATTTCCTAAGTTACCTTCAATTTCTATTAATGATTTGTGAAAAGATATTTTAATATAAAAGGAGGAATTAAATGTAAAGTATTCAAGAACTATAGAACAATATGGAAAATAAATAGAAGGGTGTATTTATTCGATTAATTTTAAAGATTTTAAATGGCTACTGCGCCTTTAAATCTATTTTTATGATATCTCAAATATGATCAAAATCTGGTGTAAGAAACAATATTACTAAGTTGGTTTTGATTATTTAATATCTTACAATTAGATTATTTTATTTTTTTATTGAATGAAGTAATAATATCAATACTTTTAAGATGTTTTCAATGAAAAATTAAATTCCAATTTTGCTTTAATCTATTCTAAGTATTTAATAATCAGTATAAATATTATAGTTTATAGATAATATCTTTTTGCCACTTTTTCGATAATTACTTTTTATCTTTTGATAACAATTAAAAATATAATATTAAACTGAAATTGATATTTGGAAATAAAAGATGACCTAGAATTAGAATTAAAATATAAAAAAAGTTATCTGATTGCAAAACTATAGCAAATTTTATATTCTTCATATATAGTCTATAAAAATATCTTAAGATTAATAAAGAGATATAATTTATAAGAGAAATTTAGGATTATCAATAATATTATATAGATTATTTGATTAAATAACGAGACATTAAAATATTTAAACTTGATGTTTGGAATAAATTTCTTTATTTAAGAATTAACTTTTTCTTATATGAAAGAACTAGTATATAATAATAATGATAGATTATCAGTAATAATAAATGCATAGAGAATGAATATAAAAAATTAAATAATAAACTAATATATAGAACAACTCTTCTCAATCTAAATACTTAATCAATGATAAATATTTACATCGATTTAAATAAAATATTAATCTGTATAGTCAATCTTTTCACTTAAATTACACATTCTTAGTTAGAAGAGAAACTTATATCTACAAGTTCTTCCATTAGTATCTAATTATATCCATTAATAATTTATCTAATTTTAAAATAATTATCATATATATTTTTCTTATCATTAATAAAACTATATTTGCTTTAATATTTTAATTAGAGATGTTCAAACTTTATTGTGTAATATTAAAAATAAATCAGTTTTAATATTCTCCTTATTCTTTATTTAAAATAGTATTATAAAATTTTGAATAAAAAATAATCTTATCTAATTCTATTAGATATTAATTAAAGAATCAATAAAATCATACAAATTCGATTATTAATAATAAATACTGGCTCGTCAGAAAATAAATTGTTAAATACCAGGAGGATAGATATATAATTTTGAAATTGAAGTTTACAATATTAAAAAAGAATTGTGTAAAAGAATACACCATATACCGTATGATAACATAATTTTAATTGATGATTAGGATAAAGTATATAGTGCATCGACTGCTTTATATTGTTAAAAAAATGATAATTTAATGAAAGAATTATCCTACATGGTTATGGATGCTTAATAACTTTATAGAGAGTATAAAGAATTGATTAAAATGAAAAGTAAGTATTATCAAGAGTTAGTTGAGACTGCTAAAGAATTATCAGAAATTAAAGATAAAGAAATATAATACAAAACTATTATATAATAATTATCTGAAACAAATACAAGTGAAGATGCCGATATTCTAATAACAAAATTAACAGAAATTGATAAGATAAAAGCCTAAAAAGAAGTATAAATTTAAGATAAAAATAATTATCCTGAATCAGAATTAGATTAGAGGATTATTAAAAGTTTAAATTAAGAAGAGAGTATAATAAAATTATAAGTAGAAAATATTAAATTATAAATTAAAATTGAAGAACTACAAATAAAATCAAATTAAGAAAAGAATTAAAATTGGCAAAGTTAATGTTAGTTTTTAACAACTTAATTGTAACAATATCTAGAAAAATAACAAATGGCTATTTAATCCTATAATGATTTAGTTTCATATATAAATGATCTAGAATTTAGTATTCAAGAGTTAAGAGAGGAATATGAATATTCAAAAAATAATCAAGAAAAATATAAATCATAGTTAAAAATAGAAAAGTATAAATTAGATAAAGCTAATGAAAAGTTGTCTTAATTGAAATTATTGTTTTAGAAAAAGAATAACAAATTAAAAAGTATGAAAGAGAATAAAAACTACATGAATGTAATTCATCAAATGAAATTCAAGATGATAAAGATTAAATTACTGGTTTAATGGAGAAATTAATGTAATCAACCAATAAAATTTACGAATTCGAAAAATAATAGAATGATTAATTAAATTAGGCAGATTATGAAATTTTTGAAATAAATATGGATAATGATTTAGCAAAAGAACTTTTGAATAAAAATTGATATGTTTAATTTGAAAAATGTTTAAAAGCAAATTCAAAGGGTGATGTAAAATTAAGTTAAAGTATGCAACCAAATTCTGAATCTATATATTTTAAGGGTTATTTAAGTGTGGTTAAGGAGGCAACATAAAATGAATATATAGAAAATTTCTTTTTAATAAAAGATCTTTTTTACTAAAATCAACCATTTAAAACTATAGATGAAGCAATAGAAATGTCTAAAAATAATTTCTTTTGTTAATTATTAATGGAACAATTTAATAAAGTGTTAAATTCATAAAAAATTAAAGAAGGAGATTATCAAATTGCCAAATAGTTTGTGTTAAAAGTTAAAGGTATATTTTGAATTTATAAATATAATAGATAAAGAAGTATATTATTATTGTGAAATGGTAAATGAAGGAGAATTTAGAAAGATAAATGGTGGAATATTCCAGCCTAAAATTAACGAGATAGATTCATATTTTAATGCATTTTCTAAATACGTCTATTCATTTTCAAATGAAAATTATATTATTACTCATCCTTAAATTTGTGGAAAAAATGTTTATGATATGATAGTAAGTACAAAAAACAAAGGATCTTTTTCAATATTAGATTAAGGAGAAAATGAAATTCGAAAATTTTTAGAAATTATTGATAATTAACCTTCCTAAATGATTAAAACCTATTGGAATGATAATGTAGAAGCAATAACTATGGAAGGATTTAAATGAGATAATAAATTTTTAAAATATTAAAATATCATGATTTTACAACATTAAAATAAAGTATTATCTAGAATTTTCTGTTTTTAGATGATAAATTGGTGCTTAGTTTAATATTTACATTTCTCCTTCTTACGTCTCAAATATCATTAGGGATTTTTGATTGTGTGTATAACTTTAGTAATAGCTATTTAATTTATTCTATTAATTCATATACAAATCATAGTAATTATTTAAGATAAATTCTAAAGTTAATATAATATCAATATGTATGAATAAAATTAAAAATTATTTTATTATTAAATATTGCTATATTTTAAATCTAGTTATTAATTTTCATATCCTATTTTCAATTATGTCTTTTTTATAAAATTTAGAGCTTTGAATATAGATTTATAAAACAAAAGAACTCAAATCAAATATGTTATTATTTCACTAAAAAATGGACAACAATAATTATTTAGAATAAATAATAGACTTAAATTTTTATTAAAATATTAATATTTATAATTATTTTCATTTTACATATATTTGTTTATTATAAATATATATTTAGATCATTGACATTATAATTTTAACACTTTTTAGGATTTTCTATTGAAAATGATTTTATTGTTATAAAAATTATATTTAATTGTTTTTATTTGGAAATAATGTTAAACTATAAATAAAATGAAATAATAAAACATCAATCCCCATCTAATAAATATGATCCTAAATTAATGAAACAAATGATTTAGAGAGATCAAATAAATATATAAAAAATTGTGATAATTTATAATTATCGAATGCTTATGATATTGATAAAAGACAATAAATTGAATAATGTAATGAATATAAAGATTCCACAAATTTCAATTATTTAATTTGTTTTA